TGTAAGAAACTAATTTGTTAAATAAACCATATATCATTGCTTGCGCGACTCATACAAAAAACAAAAAATTATACTATTATTTAAATGGAATTAGTGCAAAAGCCAAAATGGCTTTAATACTTGAATGTGAAATGGCTCAGATACAAAAGGTTAAAATATGTTTTCTGAAGTGCCCCTTTTAAACAAGACACAGACCTTAAGCCACTTAACATATGAAACCACACATTTACTGTACCCAAAGATAAATGACTACGTACAAAGAAATTTGCAGTACAAACTGCTATATATATATAAAAATACAGTCACTCTAGATATACCTGGAGGATGGAAAGGGTAAGGGTGGGACATCACTGTTTATTTTCTCGCAGTATCTCTCAAGAAAAGAGCGCAGGTGGAAGAAGGTACTCTCTTCTAAATCAACGCAGTAAGGCCGGTGCCACGCAACAACTTGTCTAGAAGAAGAAAGTGTTAACAACTGAGTAAGTTTTGCTTACAATAAACACACATTATATTGACGATGGTCGTGAAACCATTTGATGCCTTAGAGTGCCATGCCCTAGTTATCATGATGGGAAGTAATAATGCCATTCACGATTGATGGATTTACGCCGAAGAATAGTATTACAAAAGTTTCTGCGATTCATCATGTACGAAATAAAATATATTAAATGAACACTATAGCATTTGAATACAATTATGTATTCCTAACGCTATAGAGCCCTAGTCACCTAAAACGGTGACTAGTGCCCTGTTCCGCGGTGAATAAATGGTTAATCATTTATTTGCTTGCCTTAATTTAGCGCTAGCTCCCGTGTGGAGCTGAAAGCAAATGTGCGGAGAGAGGCGTGCAGGCGCATTCAAACCTACCCATAGGAAAGCATTACTCAATGCTTTCCCATGGGGATCTTTTTTCGACGTTGGAGGTCTGTGAGGACATCCAGCATCAAATAAGTGCAATTTACTCAGTGTAAATCGCGGAAGCGCCTCTAGTGGCTGTCAAGGAGACAGCCACTAGAGGCTGGATTAACCCTGCAATGTAAACATAGCAGTTTCTCTGACACTGCTATGTTTTCAGCTGCAGGGTTAAAACTAAGGGGACCTGGCACCCAGATCACTTTATTGAGCTGAAGTGGTCTGGGTGCATATAGTGGTCCTTTAAGGTGTATGCACTAAACATCAGATTTTAATGAACGGAAACCATAAAATTCAGGTCAAAAAAGCCAAGCTAGAACTACAGCGGAGTTAGAGAATCTTTCTAAATCAGTACTTTTGCCTAAAGGTTGCCATGAAGTTCTCAATTCACCAGAAGATTACCTATCTATTTGTGTTAATTATATGTTTAATTGCGTTTATACAAAGGATTCTATTTGCGAGTTATTCTGGTGCACTCTTAGGAAACAGTCGTACTGCTGTCACTTTACCAAACCAATTCCAAATTTTCACCTTTTTCAGGTAGATAATGTTACCCTTTACCTGTCCCTGGGAAGGGCTGTCCATGCCAGGCTGTGCGAGGTTCCTGCCGAGATCTGCTGAATAGCTACTCCGTCTAGCCCACTCACTTTCTTTGGCTTGGTGATGGGGCCAGTTGAATTGCCTTGCCCACACTGGCCCATTGAGTTGTTCCCCCACGCATAAACTTCATTATCTAAAGGAGACAAAAATAACAATACACTAGGATAGTTTAAGCAGCAAAACAATTCTAAAATCCAAACAATGTAATAAAAAATTACTTTATTTTAAAAATAAAATATAGTTTCTAGCAATAGCTTCTGCTCTTTACAATAAACACAATACCAAGGGCAAAGCCACAGATATCATTATCTGCAGCATTACACACGTTCTAGCTAATTTTAGACTTCATGTCTGGCTGATGCAATACATTCTGTTAAACGTACGATTACAATTTATGGTCTTCAAATGAGAGTGGGGGAAGTAACTGCAAAAGAAAAAAACATCAGTTTCTGACGGCAGGAACTCTTGAGATAATTGGACAGTCCTATCAAAATTATCCCTATAAATAGCTTGAAGTGGGTGTCTTCATTAATTTCCGGATGCAGAGCAGACAGA